AAATTCACAGAAATAGCCCCCCAAAAGGTTCCAAAATTTGCCTGATACCAATTTGATAGGAAGTAGTTGAAGATTTCAAGTAAAACCTACATTATTGGTAAAAACAGCAAAAACGGTCCACAACTCCAATGGAAAACAACAAAAATGTATATAAATTAGCATCTAATCAATCGTACATAAATTAGCATCTAAGTCAAATTTCTTGATGGTATTTATATCCAAACTCTAGCTCGAAGTCATATGAATTTCTTCCATCTAGTGTTATGACCCTTAAAATTTGATGTGTTAGGTGCATTGACTGTAGCTACTAGAAGATGCATCTTAAATATAGAAATTTGCTCTTGTCAGGTAGGAATCATTATTCTAAATTTTTTTACATGTTTCATCAAGCTCATAAGAATCTAAATGCACAATATTTATTATGTATGTAATTTAGATGTGGATGAGTTATATGATTCATGTGATTGTATGTTTCATACATCATGTTACATTAATTAGTAACAATATAAGAATGCCTTCTGATGATTGGAAGAAATATTGCCTAGAAGTACAAAATAAAGCCATTGAGGAATTATATTGAAACAAAGATATCTGCTCCATTAGATTTCGATCCAAGGTTCTTCAGCAGACACAGAACACTCCTCTAGTGCCAAAATTTTAATATGTTTTTTCACCAAAAATACAGTTTGCGTTTGTGTTGGTACTTCTGCTATGTCCATGTGATTATGAGATTTTTAGTAGTATTATTTTATGAAAGTTGTACGAAGGTTGGATAAGAAAGCTCTAGATGTTACTTTCTATATTTAGACTACACATGCTAAAGTAACAGATGCTAATGAAGTAGCTATTTTTTCTCCATCACTAAAATCAGATTTCCTAGTAAATGGCTTATGTGAACTTTTTATTAGGAAATTATATTTGTTAACTTATTTTACATCAGATGTTAGGATTATTAGGAGTTATTTTAATTTCGATTAGATTTAACTACATATTGGTTTGGTTATATTTTATTACCCTATTTCTATAAATATAAATTTAGTGGCTTATCGTGCATTATTGAATACTTAATTGAGTTTGAAAGTATTTCATTTATTCTCTCTCCTCTCTATATCCGCAACTTCCCTCTCTTAACTGCCCCAAACTCTCTCTCGTATCACTTTATCTCCCTCCGTCTGGTTTTTACCTTTAACTGGGAACAATTTTTCTCTTCCCATAAGTCTTTCTCTTGAAATTTTTTCGCTGACTCTAAGTTGAATTTGATATCTCCTGCTCTTGACCGTCCGCCTATTACATGAAGACTTTGTGCCCTTTAAATCAACTTCTGCATCACTTGGTTTCTCTAAATGTGTGGTCTTTTTAATTGCCTTGCATCTGAAGGAAAATCCTAGTTAATTTCAAGAAAAGAAGAAAGCAGATCTAGAAAAAGATTATCGTCAAATACTCGTCACAAATTAACATGAGATCAATTTAGTTTACATCAAACCTTTCCTCTTTATTCTTTATTTGATATTTCATCTAATTCTTTATAAGGTCTATTTTCATGTTCATCTTGCACTTATGCTTGGAAGTCATTAAACTTAACCAAAAGAAATAATCAAATGGAAGATTTAGCTTTGTTTGACAAAGCTAGGATTACTAATGATTTGATCTTGGGTTGATCTAAATCTTGACTCAAGATCAGCTTGAAGCAATTCAATTTGATCTTGAGCCTAGCCAAATCTTGTTACAAGCTAGCTCATTCTGATCTCGATTTGAGCTACGCATGGCTTATTAAATTCGATTGAAGCAAAAAGCTGATCGATCTAGTTATGCACACACAAATTAGTTCAATCTATATATATGTTGATCCAATCTCGAGTAGCTTGATTCAATCTAGGCTCGACTCGATTGTAGTTCTGCTTGGCTCGTTAGCTAGCTTGTTGACTTTAATACAAGCTAAGAATCAATCCAATTTTTGAGCGATTTTTGATTTACTAGCCAACTCAAAGGGTTAACACAACGCCACAAAGACCCATTTGTTTAACTAACTTGTATAAATTTGCTCGCCAAGATACAGCCTTTTTACATAAGATTATTTCATTTTGGCCATCTGATCTTTGAATTAGGCAAATGTGCGTACTGATTTTGCCATCTCCAAGCCAAGCAGGCTTTTCATATTTAATGCGTTGTTGGCCCTCTCCTTACATATGCACATTGCACTAGTTGCACCAAAAAGCTGACTCCGTATTGGTGGGAGAAGGGATAGGATTGTGAGGAATCATCAAATTGCACCAAATACTGGGAACGCTTTTTGGTTTCAATATCTTAAATGACGAGCTCATCCACTCCAGCAAAAAGTCCCCTGCAATTGGCTATTAAAATGCATGCGCTAGGTCGCAGAAAAAAATTATTGAATTTAACTAAATAATTTAATATTTAAGCTTTAGGCACAAATTTATAAAATAAATTATAAATTAACTTCATGCATTTTGAATCTTTGATTAAAGAGGGATACAATATCTTGTATGTGTGGTGCTAACACCATATTTTGTGGATTTTTTTCGGGGGTGAAGCATTGCTCTGTGTTTTTTTTTCTGGTGCCTTAACAAGGTAGCATCCTTTGATGTCACTGTCCTATGGTCAACATTGTAATCAATTTCACAAGCCTTTCAGTAATTCTGCCGAAAACTGTGTAAAATCCATAGTACTAAAAAACTTGAAATTTTACAAAATAATCAACTTCAGCCTCCTCTCTCATCTTTGTAGTAATTACCAACGTTAAATATTTCATACAAACTCTTACATGCTTTTTCAATCGCTCTAACACCGTTATATTAAAATTTGTAAAAATGTCCAAGCCTAAAGAATGACTTTCTTGTTTCAGTTTGATCAATTTAAGGGTGCAAATGAGTCAAGTCGAGCTTGAATCAGAGTGTGTTTGAGAGCTTGACTATCAAATACTGAGCTCGAGCTCGAGCTGGACTCGGTATGGGAAAATGAGCTCGCTAAGCCGCAGTTCGAGGCTGTTAACGAGCCCCTCTGTCATCCGTTTCTTCTCGCTGGCACAAGCCCCGCTTCTGCGTCTTCCCGCAGGAAAAAGCGCTTTGTCCGAAGTCTGAACGAGTTGCGAGTCCGGTTTTCATTTTCCCGCGGTTTCATTTTCCCCGCATCCTCGTCTTCCCGAATCCCGCCTGCGTCTTTTTCATCTTCTCGCAATCCCGCATGATGCTTCCATTTTCTCGCTGCTAATAGCTCGTCGAGCAGCAGGGTGTTCGAACTTGGGGTCGTTAAGTCGTCGAGCTCGATAAGCTCGACAAGTCGAGTCCGAGCCGGCTCGACTTGGTTGCACCCCTAGATCAATTTAAACCTTTAATTTAATGATGTTGCCCTGAATAGTGAACGTGATACTAGATCAATTTAACTAACATGAATCAGACTATATATAATCATTACATACCTTCTCAACATACATGATCTTGCTCCAATTTTTATGTCAAATGGCAAGCCTCCTAATTTATGCAATTTAATTTCCTAAATATTTCAAATTGAGATACAGCTTTTATTATTGTAGATACGTTGATCTCCATTGAAAGTAAAAATACTCGTATATTTCAGTTGACGATTATTTTAATCATACTGTGTCATTTTCTTCTGAATTGCCTTATTTATCCTTTAAGTTGTGCACAGTCACTGCTGCTTGATTTTTTTTTTCTTTAGCGCATCATGCTTTATATTGTTGTCTATTACTTCAAAATATATATTTGATATAATTGTGTTAAATGTTGACAAACTTTTTCAACCTTGGTATCATGTTAAATATTGATCATGAATGGAATTAATCATCATAAATTTGATACTTCCAGAGCAACTTTCAATCTAATTAATAACATATACTTAAGTGAAAAAGTTCACGTTATAAAAAATTAAGAAGTAGTGGCTTAAAATGAAGTAAAATGTTGAGGGTTGCAGTTGGCTAGGCTATCATCACGCCAACGGGATAGAGCCGACTGGCCTTGGATTCAGATGGTTCATACCGAAATCTGCTTGAAATTGTATGATTTTGATATCTTTGGATTTTCTTGGCGAAATGCATTCTCAAGACGACGACGAATCTCTTGGAATCAGAATCCTGATGGCTTTCAAAATATTTTCTAAAATTTTTGTATTCAATTTTGAATAATTTTTTTGGATCTATAAAATTGCATTGAAATTCATGTTTGATACGTGGATTTTGTGAGCCAATATAGATGTTTGTGCTGTAAGGCATGCAACCATTTCTAATGGGCTTGTGTTGTGACTAGGGGTGCAACCCATTCAGGCTGGCTTACGAGCTGACTTGAGCTTGACTCGGTAATAGGCTTCACTCGTCGAGCTTATCCAGCTCGAGCTTGAACAACCCACAACTCAACTCACGAGCTCATTAAGCAGCTCGCGGATGAAATCGCCAGCGGGGAAATGGAAGCGCGCGCAGGAAAATGACGGATGCTGGCAATGGATGTTGGCGACGACAAACGCTGCGATAGACTGAAGCTGGTGACGAACGGAAGCTAGTGATGACGCAAGCTTGCGACGGACGGAAGATGGCGATGCGAGAAGCTAGCGACGACGTGGACGCTAGCGACAGACGATGGCACGACGGACGGAATGAGCTCGAAATGCCGCTCAAGCAGCTCGACAAGCTTTTTTTTTTTTCCTCTATGTAGTCGAGCTTGACTCACGTTCGACCTCGAGCTCGAGTTCAGTATTTGACGGTCGAGCTTGAACCAAACACCCTCTAACTTGAGCTTGAGCTTGGCTTGACTCGTTTGTACCCCTAGGTTGGATTGGGAGTGAGCTAAAGCTTTTTCATTGTTTTATGTTGAAAATCTGAGGCTGTTAGAATTTGGTTTCTCATAAAAAATGCTCACAGCCCTCCTAAATAGTAAACCGCTAATTGATTGTTGCTTGAACGTTACTACTTGTATTACCATTCTAGATGTTCATTGATTACCTGACCTCCACGCTTCTTATCTTATTACCAGGCAGCAAACTATCTGTACATCAAAGGCCTTCTTGACCTCACCTGCCAAACAGTCGCTGACATGATCAAAGGCAAGACTCCTGAAGAGATACGCAAAACCTTCAACATCAAGAATGATTTCACTCCGGAGGAAGAAGAAGAAGTCCGGAGAGAGAACCAATGGGCCTTCGAGTAATGTTATCAACTCTTTCTCCTTTGCATATTTTCATAGAAAAAAAAAAAAGATGGATCAGGATATCCTAATTAAATTTTTGTTATGAAAACTCTTAAAATTATTATATTTACTTTGAGATTAGTGTTGTACATGAAAAATCAATCAAAGTAAATATAATAGTATGAGAGTCATTGTGACAAATTTGATTATGATACGCTGAACAAATTTTTTTTTAACAGTTTAATTTGCTTATGATGGTCCACAGTTTCAAGATTTGAACTTTAAAGTACCCTTATTATCATTTCTATTTTACCATATTGTCCTATATATTCTATCTTTTGTTTCCTTTTCAACTACCATGCAATCATAGAAGAAAAAAATTACAGAGGAATATCCTGACAAAATTTGTAGTGGATGAACTTAAATGCTCTTAAATCTATACTGAGATTAGGATATTTGCATTTTTTTTTTTAATTGCCAACATATTAGTTGAACAACCCATCTTGATGGTTGAAATTGGTGGCATTATTTTCTTTAAAATTACCCTAATATTATTGGAAATTTGTCTTCAATTGACTTGTATGGTTAGGATGTTGGTTATTTTATGGTGCAATTACCAGGTAATTAAAGAGGACTTGAAGCAGATGGTGGCTAAGTGGGCTTGAAGAGATTTTTTTTTATAAATGTCCAGAAAAAGAAAAATCTCACATGATTGATGGTGGGGTGGAGTCATCCACATGCTTTATGTTCTCAAATTTAGGTTTCGTTTGGGACAGCTTTTTTTACTGCTACTTATAGCAGCTTTGTAGTACAAAAAATTTAATTTTTGTATTAAAAAGCTGCCTTAAGTAGTAGTAAAAAAACTGTCCTAAACGAAGCCTTAGGGTTTATTTGGGATGATCGAGTGTTTTATAAAATTGATTGTGAAATTATTACGTGAAAACTAACTTTGTTGTTTTGGTTACGAAAAGTTTTTTTCTTTCACAAAAATTTTAAAGAAATGTTGAAAAATAGTAAGAAATTCGTAGTTAAGTGAAGCTGTGATTACTATTTGAACAACAAAATGATATGTCCTTTTTTTTTAATCAGCTTAATAAGTTTGCTAAATTTTTCATATTTGGAGGTTATGCCATTTAGGATTTGTGTGAAATAACTTTCTCTCTATATACTTCTCAAATAATAATCACAATTTTATTTTATTTTTTGCAACTGTCTTCTTGTAGTTTTTTACAAAAATTTGTGGTGAAAAGCTGTTCTTTTAAATCATGATAGCTAAAGGCATTATTTGGAATAATTTTTTTACTATTTTTTGCATCAATTTTCGAGTGCAAAAGTTTCTTGAAAATAGTGAAATATTAATAGCCAAAAAAAAATTATTGTAAATGATACCTAAGCCTAAGTTGCTTACCCCATAACTATTTTACAATCAATTTTATAAAACTTTATAACCCTCTCAAATAAATTATAGTGTATTAAAAAGAGAGAAGAGAAGTAGAGCCTTGAGGATATTTTTGTAAGAAGGCATACTTATCAAGAAATTATTTCATATCTATCATAATATTATTTATATAAAGATATCTCTCCTATAATTCTTAGCTTGTTAGCATAAATCTGTCTCCCCACATGCAGTAGAGCATGAAAAGAACAAAAATAAGAATAAAAAAAGAAGTTAATAAAACTAAAGAGTTTTTGGGATTCAAAGATTATTTCTTCTGCATTTACAATCACACAGAATTTGGAGTAAAATTATGATAAATGATGCCATTTAAATAAAAAGTTTGGAATTGTGTGAATAAAACTGCTTATCATCATTATCATTATCATTAGGGCTGTTAAAATTGAGTTTAGGGTTGGGTTTAGGTCAAACCCGAATATGACCCGACACTTTTTAACCCGACCCGAATCTAACCCATTTTTACAAATGGGTCGGTTTTTTTGGACCCGAACCGACTCGCTTCTTTCATGCTTTACTAAAATATTTTAATTTAATTTAATTTATTTAAACCTAAATCGAATTAAGGTAATATTTACTTCAATCAATTTTAAATAAATCAAGCTTAATTTAGTTTAGTTAATATGGTTTATTATTTTTTGGAAGTAACATTTACTTATTTCATAACAATATTTTAAAATCCTCCTAAATCAATTAAAAACGGTTTAAACTGGGTTGATTTTGGGTTTCTAGGTCAACCCTAACTCGAATTTGTTTTACAAACGGGTTGAAATCCCTAATCTGAACCCAAAATTTTCAGGTCGTCTTAAATATTGATACCCCTAATTATCATCGCCATATTGGTCATCATCATATGGGCATCATCCAACGCACGACATTGAGCACCTTATCATTGAAGCCCTTTCTTTCTAGACTGTATGATATCCTCAATCAAATTTCACATTTAATAGATGCTATGCATGTTTTGATTAAAAAAAAAATATATCTAGGTATATATAGTTTTGAAAAATATTTAATTATCTTTGAGAATATTAAATTTTTAATTTTAAAATTGAACGCGTCATTATGAACAGTATATCACCTCGGGAGGTGATCATATCGTTCTCTAATGGGTTCATATTTTAAAATTTTAAATTCATCCGAATTATCGTAGTCAAACTCAAGGAGGAACGACATATGATCTCGTAAGATCAAAATGACGTTCAATCAATTGTTTAACTATAACAATTCGGATAAGAGATCGTTAATTTCATAATCAAAATAACGATAATAAAATAATATATCTTCCCAAAGAAAGATGATATTATCTATTATCGATTATTTTAATATGACGATAACGATCGCCATTTTTTTGTTTGAATTCCCAAAGATAATTAATTGAAGGTTTTTGAAAAATTAACAAAAGCGACTCTCTTTTTGCTCTCACAACAAGGCGGAGAAACTTGTACAAACACGGTTTCACCTCCTCGGTCCAACAGAGAATCATGACTCTTTTACAGGTAGAAAACCTTAACTCTATCTTCACCTTCCTAGTGATGGTTAGAGAGCCATAAATCTATTTTCACTCTCCAGGTGATGGTCAGAGAACCATGATTTTTGCTGAATAACTTTTCTCCGGAGCCACAGAGATTCCAAACATACGCTTGTATGTCCCAGGCAAGATTCTTGTTTGGAGCAACCTTGTGAATCCTCTCACAACTTCTCCCTTGCAAAATCTCTCTCTCTCTCTCTTCTCTTACCAAGCTCTCCTTCTCTCCCTCAAGCTCCCTCACAAGAAGCCTAAGCAGCAAAAGATATCTAACAAGAGTGTTAGAAATCCTTAAATAGAGGGCTTCAAAAATCCTAATTTTCAAGCCATCCGTCTTTTGTTTGTACAACATGATACATGTATTGTACTGTGCGATCAGTTCAATTCAGACTTGTCCAACAAGATCGTTCAGACGAAATGTTCAACTTTAATAATACATCGTACAGTACGATAAAAAATCGTACGACATGATATGAAGAAATTCCTTCTGTTCGTTTGGGACGATCCTTGGGACAACCAACTTCATACATGGGTGCATGATTGTCCAGCATCGTGGACATCATACGAAACGATCAATACAAAAATCATGGATTTATTTGGAACGATCCAAGGGACGACCAATTTCATACACGGGTATCATACATTATGAACTATTTCGTACAGTACGATTAATCACAATAATTGTTCATGATTTGATTGTCTGATACCACAGGATTAATTAAGAAAGATTTTAATTAGGGCGTATAGTACGATCCAAATCGTACTGTATGATTAGTATAGAATTATTATCTTTCTTAATCTTTGGCGACTAAGGTTTGACAAAGCACAACATATCATACGGAACGAATTAAAAGGGTACATTACGATAAATGTATCGTACAATACTAAGACAAATAGTACAATACGAATCACAAAAAAAAGAAAGACCCTCAAAAATATTTTTTCTCTCCCTCTATGTGTGTGCAAGGTTGCTTAGCAAAGATATTCACCCAAATACAAGATGTGACTCAAGAAAGAAAACAAATACATAATAAATTGAAAATAACATATTGAAATCCTAGTCAATACAAGCTTGAGCTAATCAGAATTCCAAGTGAACGGTGGACTGAATTCCTAAAATATTAGTACACACAGAACAAAACACAATATCATGGAACCAGCAGAAAGCAATATCAGACACAATAATATTTATTATCATCAAAATACAAACACAATGCTTAGATCAGATCTGCAATATTTTATAAAGTAATTTTTTAGTACAACAAATTTTTGAAATATAAATTTTGGTAGGTACTAAAAAAATTGTTTTAAAAAGTAGTAAGAAAGTAGTCCCCAAATGAAACCTTACTTGGCAACAATTTAATTTAATTCCCTTCTCTGTCTATTTAAAAAAAAAAATAAGTAGTGGAAAGAGATTTTTATGCAAAAAAGCTAATGTATAAAGTCCTAAGAAATCTGTCATAAAAATGAAGCATAAATTAAATGATGATTTGCCTATTATGTGGTTCAAATAATTTTTATTAAAAGCAATTATTAATCTCATTTTGTAGAATATGATAATAACTTATTTATTAGCACATAAATAAAAATATTTATAAAAAATATATATTATAGCATAAAAGGTACGATTTAATCAAAAAAAATATCTCATATATTTTTTTATTTATTCCATACATTAAAAAAAAACCATTTAATTTTTTTGTGCAATTTGAGGCTAACAAAATTTTAGACGCCATTGAAAAAAAAGAAATTTTTTTGCATAAAAAGTTTGCATTTATCACATGGTAATAACAATTTATTTACTCTGTCCAATTCAGCAAAAGTCTGGCCTGTCCTGTAATAATTTTCTTCACAGCCGTCGTTGGCTAAACAATTTAATATTTACACCCCATATCTGTCTGTATTCATAATGTCATCTTTTGTTCGTATAGTATGATACACGTATTGTACGATATGATCAGTTCAATTCAGACTTTTCCACCAAGATTGTTCATATGAAATGTTCAACTTTTATAATACATTGTACAGTACGATCAATAATCGTAAGGTACGATATGAAGAAATTCCTTCTGTTCGTTTGGGACGACCAACTTCATACGCGGATGATCGTTCACCACTGTGGACATCATACGATACGACCAGTACAAAAATCATGGATTTCATTTGGTACGATCCAAGGGACGGCCAATTTCATACACGAGTAATCATACAATATGAATTATTTCATACAATACGATTAATCATAATAATTGTTCATGATTTGATTGTCTGATATCACGAGATTAATTAAGAAAGATTTTAATTAGGGCGTACAATACTATCTAAATCGTAATATACGATCAATACATAATTAATATATTTCTTAATCTTTG